ACTAAAGGTATTTCAGAGCATAGAAAAGGATGGAATACTTCCAAACTCATTCTATGAAGCCAGCATAACCCTGATACCAAAACCAGGTAAAGACACCACAAAAAAAGAAAATTACAGACCAGTATCCCTCATGAACATAGATGCAAAAATCCTCAACAAAGTTCTAGCCAGTAGAATTCAACAACATATCAAAAAAATAATTCACCGTGACTGTCTTAGTCATCTAGTGCTGCTATAACACAAATAACACAAGTGGATAGCTTCAACAAAGAGAAATTTATTTTCTCACAGTCTAGTAGGTTACAAGTCCAAATTCAGAGCGTCAGCTGCAGAGGAATGCTTTTTCTGTAGGTTCTGGAGGAAGGTCCGTGCCATCAATCTTCCCTTGGTCTGGGAGCTTCTCTGCACAGGAACCTCAGGTCCAAAGGGTCCCTGCTCCTGGCACTGCTTTCTTGGTGGTACGAGGTCCCCGTGTGTCTCTGCTCACTTCTCTCTTTTATATCTCAGAAGAGATTGGCTTAAGACACTAATCTTGTAGACCTCATCAGTATAATTGCCTCTAATCCATTTTATTACATCATAATGATAGAGTTTACAGCACATAAGGAAATCACATCTGATTACAGAATGGTACACAATCATACAATACTGGGAATCATGACCCAGCCAAGTTGACAGATATTTTTTGGGGACACTATTCAATCCATGACAGTGACCAAGTGGGATTTATACCAAGTATGCAGGGATGGTTCAACATTAGAAAATCAATGTAATCCATCACATAAATAAAAGACGAGCATCTCATGATCTTGTCGATTCAGAAAAGGCATTTGACAAAATCCAATACCCATTCATTATAAAAACTCTCAACAAAATAGGAATAGAAGGAAAATTCCTCAACATAATTAAGGGCATTTATACAAAGCCCACAGCCAACATCATCCTAAATGGAGAGAGTCTCAGAGCATTCCCCTTGAGAATGGGAACCAGGCAAGGATGCCTTTTATCACCACTGTTATTCAGCATTGTGCTGGAGGTCCTAGCCAGAGCAGTTAGGTTAGAGAAAGAAATAAAGGGCATCCAAATTGGTAAGGAAAGGTAAAAGTATCTATTTACAGATGATATGATCTTATTGACAGAAAACCTCCAAGAATCCACAAGAAAACTACTGGCACTAATAGAAGATTTCAGCAGACTATCAGGAAACAAGATGAACATACAAAAAGCAGTTGGATCCCTCTACACCAACAAAGAGAGCTTTGAAGAGGAAATCACCAAATCAATACCATTTACAATAGCCCCCGAGAAGATAAAATACTTAGGAATAAATCTAACCAGAGACGTAAAAGACCTATACAATGAAAACTACAAGACACTACTGCAAGAAACCAAAACAAACATCCATAAGTGGAAAAACATGCCTTGCTCGTGGATATGAAGGCTCAACATTGTGAAAATGTCAGTTCTCCCCAAAGTGATCTACAGATAGAATGCAATCCTGATCCAAATTCCAACGGCATTTTTTAATGAGATGGAGCAATCAACTTCATGTGGAAAGGAAAGAGGCCCTGGGTAGATAAAGCATTACTGAAGAAGAACAACAGTGTGGGAGGCCTCTCACTACCTGATTTTAGAACCTATTATACCGCCACGGTAGTCAGAACAGCCTGGTACTGGTACAACAAGAGATACATAGACCAATGGAACAGAATTGAGAATCCAGATGTAAATTCATCCACCTATGAGCAGCTGATGTTTGACGAAGGCCCAAAATCCATTAAATGGGGAAAAGATAGTCTCTTTAACAAATAATGCTAGCATAACTGGTTATCGATCTGCAAAACACTGAAACAAGACCCATACTTCACACCATGCACAAAAACTAACCCAAAATGGATCAAAGACTTAAATATAAAGTCTAAAATAATAAGGATCACAGAAGAAAAAATAGGGACAATGCTAGGAGCCCTAATACACGGCATAAACAGAATACAAACCATAAGTAACGATGCACAAGTACCAGAAGAGAGACTAGAGAACTGGGAGCTCCTAAAAATCAAACACTTAACGCTCATCAAAGGACTTCACCAGAAGAGTAAAGAGACAGCCTATAGATTGGGAAAAAGTTTCTGACTATGACAAATCTGATCAGTGTCTAGTCTCTAAAATCTACCAGATACTGCAAAACCTCAACAACAAAAAGACAGCCCAATTAAAAAATGGGCAAAGGCTATGAACAGGCAGTTCACCAAAGGAGACATTCAGGCGGCTTACAGACATATGAGGAAATGCTCACGATCATTAGCCATTAGAGAAATGCAAATCAAAACTACAGTGAGATACCATCTCACCCCACCAAGGCTAGCATTAATCCAAAAAACACAGAATGATAAATGTTGGAGAGGTTGTGGAGAGACTGGAACACTTACACACTATTGGTGGGAATGTAAAATGGTACAGCCACTTTGGAAATCAATTTGGCGCTTCCTTTAAAAGCTAGAAATACAAGTACCATACGATCCAGCAGTCCCACTCCTTGCAGTATATGCTAGAGAAATGGGAGCCATCATGTGAATAGATGTATGCACATCCATGTTCATTACAGCACTGTTCATAATAGCAAAAAGTTTGAAACAATCTAGGTGCCCATCAACAGATAAACAAATTATGGTATATTCACACAATGGAATAGTACACAATGATAAAGAATAAAGAAGAATCCGTGAAACAGCTCATAATATGGATGAATCTGGAATGCATTGTGCCAAGTGAATTTAGTCAGTCACAAAAGGACAAATGTTGTATAAGACCACTATTATAAGAACTCAAGAAAAGGTTTAAAAACAGAAGAAAACATTCTTTGATGGTTACGAGGGTGGGGCTGGAGGCAGAGGGGTATTTACTAACTAAATGGTAGACAAGAATTATTTTAGGTGAAGGGAAGGACAGCACACACTACAGAGGAAGTCAGCACAGCTGGACTAACCCAAAAGCTAAGAAGTTTCCTGAATATACCCAGACACTTTGAGGGACAGAGTAGCAGGGGTGGGGGTCTGGGGACCATGGTTTCAGGGGACATCTAGGTCAGTTGGCGTAACAAAGTTTATAAAGGAAGTGTTCTGCATCCCACTTCGGTGAGTGGCCTCTGGGGTCTTCAAAGCTAGGCAGTAGCCTTCTAAGATGCAGCAGTTGGTCCCAACCCACCTGGAGCAAAGGACAATGAAGAGCACCAAAGATACAAGGAAAATATGAGCCCAAGAGATAATAAGGGCCGTATAAACCAGAGACTCCCTCAGCCTGAGATGAGAACTAGATTGTGCCCAGGTACCACCAATGACCGCCCTGATAGGGAACACAACAGAGAGTCCCTGATGGAGCATGAGAGAAGTGGGGTGCAGAACTCAAATTCTAGTAAAAAAACCAGACTTAATGGTCTGACTAAGACTGGAGGGACCCTGGAAGACATGGTCCCCAGACTCTATTAGCCCAAAACTAAAACCATACCCGAAGGCAACTCTTCAGACAAAGGTCAGACTGGACTATAAGACATAAAATGGTACTTGTGAAGAGTGTGCTTGTTAGCTCAAGTAGATAACATGAGTCTAAATGGGCAGCTCCTGTCCAGAGGGTAGGTGAGAAGGTAGAAAGGGACAGGAGTTGGTTGAATGAGCACGGGAAATGTGGGGTGGAAAGGAGGAGTGTGCTGTCACAGTATGGGGAGAGCAACTAGGGTCATGTAGCAGTGTGTGTATAAATTTTTGTATGAGAAACTAACTTGAACTATAAACTTTCATTTAAAGCACAGTAAAAAAGAGGAGGACATCATGCTTGTTAAAGTAGAGGGTCGGTGAAAGAGAGGAAGACCCTTAGTGAGATGGATTGACGCAGTGGCTGCAACAATGAGCTCAAGGATATGGTTGTGAGAGTGGCGCAGGACTGGGCAGTGTTTCTTTCTGTTGTGCGCAGTGTTACTATGAGTCGGAACTGACTCCATGGCACCTAACAGCAACAACTTCAATTGAGAAACCTATGATATCTGTGGAAGTGTGTATTAAAATGTATGTACAGCTGAGAGAATAATTATAAACACTCATGTAGCCACCATCCGGGTTAAAAGAAATGTTGCATTACAGGCTGACATTAGAAGTCCCCTGTGTCAACTAGTCATAGTCTTCATCCTGCCCCAAAGAAACTAACACTTGACTCTTGTGATGATTGTGTCCATATATTTCTTTATAATTTTATCACCTGTGTACGCATCCTTAAATAATAGTTTTGCCTGTTTATGAATTTTAAATAAATGGACTTGTACTTTTTTTTATCTTGCTTCTTGCATGCAACCTTATATTTGTGAGAGTCATCCACATTGATGATAGTAGGTGTTAGTTTATTCATTTTTATCACTGCATAGTATTCCATTATGTAAAAATTCTACAGTTTAATTTATCTATGGTGGCTATTTGGGTTAGTTCTACTTCGGGCTGTCACAGCTAGTATTCTAGTGCACGTTCTTACACGTTTGCTGGTTTACATGTGCAGACATTTCTCCAAGGATGGAGTGGGATTACTGAGCCAGGAAGTGGAATTGCTGAGTTGTAGGTTATGTGTATCTTTAGATTCACTAGATAATTGCAGGTGTGTTTTCTTTTGTTGTAAGAGTAGGATTTTCACCATATTAAGAAGATGGCTGGAGACATTGCCACCAAAGGGAACTGCTGGTGCAGACACCCCTGGCCGTAAACCAGTTTATGCCCAGAGGAACTAGTGATGTGAGGCTGAGTTTTGCGCAGGGGCAGAAGCTGAGGCTTGTCAGCAAGCTTGCCAGAAGCTTACCAGGAGGGCTAGTAAGAGGAGAGCCTCTAGTGCCGCCAGGCTGAGGCACTTGGACCCCACCTTGGGGCATCGTGGAGCCTCTGTGGTGAGGGACAAGTAGATGCACGTTTTGGGAGAAGGCTGATTTGGGGCCGCCCTCCAAATGTCTGCCTGTGCTTACTCCACAGGTGATTGTCCCGTTGCCCACCTGGAATGCCCAGACCCGTGAGCCTGTCACAGACAACGTGGAGAAGTTTGCTATTGAGACAGAACTCATCTACAAGTACTCTCCCTTCCGCAATGAGGAGGACGTAATGGCCCAGTTCATGAAGATTCCTGGGGGCAGTGGTAAGTAGGCTTTGCACCTGCAGCCCCTAGAACCCGGGTGCTCTACAGCCACCAGTTGGGTGGGGATGGGCTGTGGGCACCTGGCAGAATGAAAGGAGGATTTGTTTCCCAGGAACGCTGGTGATCATCTTTAATCTCAAACTCATGGATAATGGAGAGCCGGAGCTAGATATAATCTCAAATCCAAGAGACATCCAGATGGCAGAGACCTCCCCAGAGGGCACGTAAGTGTGACTGGAAGGGAGGGTGGCCTGGAACTGGAGTTGATTCTCTTAGGGAGGAAAAGCTAAGGAGGCAACTTCAGGGAAAAAGGGGAGCGCTTATTCTTTGGATTTCCCTTGGGGCAACACTAGAGCCGATGGAGCTGAGAGCACCACGTCTTCTTGCCGCAAGGCAGAAGGGATGAGTAGAAGGACAGCAGATCCTTAGCTAAGCCAAAAGAAGAGTAATGACACTTTTTCCAGCTTCTTGAATTGATGGAAGAAGAAACTGAGGCCTAGGGAGGAGGAAGGGAATTGCCCAGGGTTCCACAGTGAGGTAGTGGTAGGGCCAGGCAAGAACCTCAGCCTCAGCAGTAAGCACCCATGTCTGTGAGGCATCTCTGATGGGGACCATGCGAGTGGGGGCAGAGGGGACTTGGAGGTGGTGCCTGTGCTGAGGGAGCACCCCGTAAGGGCGGCAAGGGAAGCTGAGATGGACAGGTGGAGGGCCTGCAGAGAGGATGTCATACCTTCGATCAGGGTTTCTTCAGGGCTGGGTGATAGCACTCTGTTCGGCCGCTTCCAGGAAGCCAGAGCGGCGCTCATTCCGCGCCTACGCTGCCGTGCTGTATATTGACCCCCGGATGAGGATCTTCATTCATGGGCACAAGGTGCAGACCAAGAGGCTCTCCTGCTGCCTGTACAAGCCCAGGTAGGTCCACTGTTTCCTGGCTTCCATAGGCCCAGGATAGGGGCATTGAGGGAGTGATGCCTTGTGAGAAGTTTTGGCAATGCTGTGTTTGGGCCTTTAAGCTTCCTTTGATTTCCTGCAGAATCATTTCTGGGTTCTGAGGGAGGGATAGAGGTGGTGATGGGCTCTGGAGTCGGCTGGCTAAGTTGTGGGCTAAGTGCCTTCTGTGGCATGGAGGGTGCCCTCCCTGGCACGGTGAGCTGTCTGAGCATCTTGGCTTCAAGGCCAAGGGGTCTTTGGACACTGCATAGGAAAGCACAGGCACTGGCGTAATACTGAAGATTTGTTTCTGCTGTGGGATTAATGAACTTGGTGATTCCCACTTGGTAAATGGTGAGATCGTTTACCAAAGACACAGAGCAGGAGGCACGTGACACATGGAATAAGAAATTGAATCTTTTTGTGAAAATAAGCTTGAATTGGTCTTTCATCACAAGGGACCAGGGCAGCACAGCTCGGGGGAGGAGGCAGGAAGGTAGAGTGCTTCCTGAGGTTCCTGGGATCGTCACCCTGTCCCACTGCTGCTCGAATCTTCTGAAGTTGCTTTTTCTGCCCTTCAGGATGTACAAGTACACATCAAGCCGATTCAAGACCCGTGCGGAGCAGGAGGTGAAGAAAGCGGAGCATGTGGCACGGATCGGTAATGTGCAGGAGGAGGGCTGGGTGGGGGTCTTCTGGGGACTAGAAACTAAAGCAAGGATCTAGGAAAAGGCTCCCTCCAGCATCCAGGGACAAGGCTGTTCTCCTGTATGATCCATTTCCTCCTGTGTCTCTTAACCTCCCTCCCCTTGCCAAGCCCCTCAGCACTTTTATCCTCAGACTACTCTTTTCCCCCGAGGCCATTTATAGGGATTTTCCTAAAACTGTAGCAAGTCCTTGGCTTGCCCAGAGTGAAGAATCCCACACTCTCTCCTGGCCCAAATACTTGGGAAATTGGTTTTCCTGACTCCAGAACAAAATCTCCCACTCTGGTGCTGACCTTCCTCATGCTGCTTGATGGAGTGTGATTGTCTGAGGACTTCATTAGCTTCCAGCTCATACTGAAGGCTTTCCTTGGGCATTTTGTGACCTGTTACAATTCATTTGCAAAGTTTGAAAAGCATGTTTCAGGTATAAACAGTGCTGGTTTTCCTTGAGGCCTCCTTGAGATTTTTGGAAACCAGATTTTCTTCTTTGAGCAGACGCTGTGGTCCAGGCTTGAGGTTCCTCTCACTGCTCATTGGCTGTTGCTCTCGCAGCTTCCCTGGAACAAGGCTGCCCTTGAGGGTGGTCCAGCAGGGCAGGAGCTTCCCCAGAACTGCCCTGAGGAATACCAAGAGTTTTGAACCTTTGAATTCCTTATCACGGTTTCTTCTGGGTTTCAGCTGAAGACAAGGCGAGAGAGGCGGAGACCAAAGCTCGGACTTTAGAACTACGTTTAGGTGGAGACCTCACACGGGACTCCAGGGTAAGGCCCCCAGACCCATGCGGCTGTTCTTGAGTCTGCCAGCATTCCCCAGGCCAGTCATGAATGCCTTGTCTTCAAGCTGAGAAACGGGATGTTCAGATGTTTACACGATCACTAACATTTATTGAACCCATTGTCTGCCAGAATCTTGGCTAATTTTATCACCTCAACAACTGTATGAGGTAGACACCATTATGATCCCCAGCTAGAGAAATTGAGGCGTTGAGGGGCTCAGTCCCGTGTCCCAGGTCACACACAATGAGGTCAGAGCTGGATTCAGCCCCTGTCTGTCTGGTATACTCCTCCCTCATCTGCTGTTTCCTTCTTCACATCAGTGGGCCTAGTCAAGTGAAACAGCTGTGAGATGGCTTCAGGAAGGGCCATTTTCTGTAAAAAGAAGTCCACCTCTAGGTGTGGTTTTTGCATCCATGTGAGTTAAAGTGAGAAATTTTAGATGAGGATGTTATCATGTCAACCTGCTGTAGTCGGAGTAGCTGTACCCTCACTTGGTGCTGATGCGCATTTGCAGGTGATGTTGCGGCAGGTGCAGAACATGGCCATCACTCTGCGAAGAGAGGCTGATGTCAAGAAGCGGATCAAGGAGGCCAAGCAGCGGTGAGTGCCAGGGCTGCACAAAGTTGGCCTTTACAGTTGTGCACTCGTGTACTGGCTGCTGACAAAGAGTGCGAGGGGCCCTCCCCAGGTTGCCATTCTGTCATGAAGACTGCCGGGAGAAAGCCACTGGTGTTGGGATCCCAAATGCCTGTCCAACACCCCCTGCAGGAGAGATGCTGGGCTCTGTGCTCTTAGCGCTTTCCTGAGCAGGGTGGCTGCCACCTGGAATTGAACATCGTTTAAACCCTCCTCACTGGCAACTCTGATTTTTTCTTTCCTTTTTTTTTTTTTAAAAGAATGTATAAAATTTTAAAAACAGAACATTTAAGAAATAAAAAATTTAAACTCCCCTATAATTCTACCACCTGGTGATAGCTACTATTAATTTTTCATGTATTTCTTTTATATAATTATATTTATAGTCCTATTTATCGCTTCCCCCATTACAAATTTGTACTGTTGCTGGAGATTTGAGTTTTGTAGCCTTCTTTTGCACATAGAATGATAATTTTTCCTATGCCATTAAATTATCCCATGTCTAGAGTGCTCTGGGCTCTGGGGCTTGAATTGCTTGGCTGCTTCTTGTTGCCTCCTTGCCTAGGCAGAGGTTTCTGGCTTCGTCTGCCTAAATAAGTCCACTGCTGTCCATCTGCTTTCCAACTTTGAAAGTTTTATTGACATTAATCCCATGATGGTGTCTTCTCTTGTATTTCATTGTTCTCATAAATTTTGTCTTTTATTAAGTTACTGTTTACATTAGTAGAGTTTTGGGGAGGATATAAAGATAATCCTGCCTTCACGGAAATAAGCAGCAGCTTCACAGTTCACCAATTCATGCGTAAATCTGTTTTGTGTTTTGTTACCAAAAGCCAAAGTCGTAAACTTTTAAATAGGGGTGCGTAGAGCCACTGCGGAGAAAGATGTGGCAGTCTGCTTCTGTAAAGATTTACAGCCTTGGAAACTCTACGGGGCAGTTCTACTCTGTCTTATAGCATGGCTATGAGCCAGTCCACTCCAAAGCAGTTGGTAGAACCACTGCACACATCCCTATCAAGTGTAAGGGAGGTTACACATTGAATGGAGATGCGAAAAGTTTTGCTTAACATGTTTTAGGTATCATAGTGTTTGTGTGCTAATTGGAAGATCTGCTTGAATGAGTCTCTTGTTTTTTTTCTCAGCGCACTTAAAGAACCCAAGGAACTGAATTTCATTTTTGGGGTCAATATTGAACACCGGGACTTGGATGGCATGTTTATCTACAACTGTAGCCGCCTGATCAAGATGTACGAGAAAGTGGGCCCACAGCTGGAAGGGGGCATGTGAGTACTGCCCAAGGAGAGCTTACAGCCCAAGGTGGGTGGTGGGAGGGTTTTGGCCCAAGTGGTGACAGAGGTGTGTCTTGCGTCTCCCTCCAGGGCATGTGGCGGGGTTGTTGGGGTTGTTGATGTGCCCTACCTGGTCCTGGAGCCTACACACAACAAGCAAGATTTTGCTGACGCCAAGGAGTACCGACACTTGCTGCGGGCGATGGGGGAGCACCTGGCACAGTACTGGAAGGACATTGCCATTGGTAATGGGGCTGGGCGGCTGGGCCTTTGTCCTTTCTTGTCACCTTTAGGCTTAATATGCTCTGTCTGAGGCTAAATTTAGGAAGATGGAGAGGCTGGCTCCTAACTTGATGTGTGGGTGTTTGCCTTCCAGCCCAGCGGGGAATCATCAAGTTCTGGGATGAGTTTGGCTACCTCTCTGCCAACTGGAATCAGCCCCCATCCAATGAGCTGCGTTACAAACGCCGGAGAGCTATGGAAATCCCAACCACCATCCAGTGCGGTGAGTCAGGGTAGTCTGCACCCTCCTTCTGACTCCTTTCCATCATAGTCCATGACCCTCCATCTTCATGTTACCTCCTTACAGTGAGTAGCATTCATGGACTTAAAGTCCCACTAGGGCTAGGAGCTGTTTGATGGTAGACCTGTGAGTTCAGTATTGGGGCTCTGCCTGTCCCTCCTGAATGAGGCAGCAGGTCATCTAGCCCACCAGGCCTTGCTGGGTTTGATGCCATATTGTTTGTACTGTGAGTGGATGACTGAGCAGGGATCCTGCTGGAGTGGGGCTAGGGGCTGGGAGCCAGAGAGCCCACCATACAAAGTTTCCATCCCCTTGTGGGAATCACTGCCCCTGAGAATTACTCTTCTGTCAGGACAAGCAGAGTTAGAGCCAGAGTGAAGATCTTTGCGTGGAAAGTCTGGGACATCTTGGCCGTGGGCTTGGCTGTCAGGAGCCTGGATCACAGATGTTATTGGTGGATGTGGATGACATTTGTTGGGGGGTGTTTTCCGTGATGCAGATTTGTGTCTGAAGTGGCGGACTCTACCCTTCCAGCTGAGTTCTGTGGAAAAAGATTATCCTGACACCTGGGTTTGCTCCATGAACCCTGATCCTGAGCAAGACCAGTGAGTACTTTCTTTAACAAGGGAATTGTGGGTACTTCTTCCCCTCCCCCAGTGTTCTCGCTAAATGGTAAATGGTAACAACTCACTGTACTTCTTAAGTTCAGTTCCTGTATCCTTACATCTCAGTCTTGCTGTACACGGTAGGTTAGTAGGTGCCCAGGAAATTCACATAGATGGGTATCCTGCAGTGAATACCAATTTCAGTTGGGAACTCTGCAGTGGTTGCTCTAATGGGCAGTAGCAGGCATTGGCTGAGGAAGAAGGTCCCTGCTCTACTAGTGCAGTCCTGTTTTGCCACAGCCTCCCTAGAACCTTCCCTCTACAGGTGTGAGGCTTCTGAACAGAAGCAGAAGGTCCCCTTGGGAACATTCAGAAAGGACCTGAAGACACAGGAAGAGAAGCAGAAGCAGCTGACGGAGAAAATTCGCCAGCAGCAGGAAAAGCTGGAGGCCCTTCAGGTGTGTGAGTATTGGGCAGCAATTAGAGCCAGCCTGTGTCAGGGTCTTCACAGTATAAGAACTTTCAGTGGCTTCTCTTTTCCCTCAGGCTCACCCTCAATTCACCCACACGTGCTTGCCAAAGCTTCCCAGTCCCAGCCGCCAGGTCTGGGCTCACCGTTATTTGAGTATAACTTGCTTGTTCTTTTTAAAAAGCAAACTTTTGTTTATATATTACCAAGTGGTCCAATTTGTTTAGAATGTTTTAAAACGCCAGAAAATAAAAATCCAACCTTAGAGGTAACTGCCATTAATGCTTTGCTACATATCTTTCCAAGTTTTCATTGAATACCTATATATGTGCAAAATACATGTATTTTTAAATAGAAATACGGAGATCATACTATACGTGTGTATATTTTTGTACATAATTATTTTCTTGGCATAATTTTCTAGAAGTGAAATAGAAAAAGGATTTGCAAAATGGTATGGCTTTTTATACATACTCCCAAATTACCCTCCAGAAGATATATTAACATTTTTTACCAGCAGTGTATGAGAGTTATAATAATTTTTGAATGTTTTTGCCAATTTGGAAGACAAAGGTATGCAGCTTGTAATTTGAATTTCTCTTCTTATATTTAAGATGAGGTATTTTTTTTCATATGTCTATTAACGTTTCTTTTAGAATTACTTATTCACCTATTTTTCTGTTGGGGTATTTATTTTTTTCTCAGTTAATTTGTCAGCTTTTAAAATTTGTGATCTCAGCCTTTTATCATACTTAGTCGGAATGCTTTTCCTTTCTGGCTTCTGTGTCTGTGCAGACGCTCTCCCTAACTCGCAAAATCCTACTTGTCCAAGTTGTGTCCCACCGAGAAGGTCTTTCCCACCTCTTTTGGCTCCTTCTTTTCTAGGAATTGAGTTCATTGACACTTTTTCCCATTCTTTCAATTGCTGGATTAATCGTATAAACCAAAAACCTGTTGCCGTCAAGTCAATTCCAACTCATAGCAACCCTATAGGACAGAGTAGAACTGCCCCATAGGGTTTCCAGGGAGCAGCTGGTGGATATGAACTGCCGACCTTTTGTTCTTAACCACTGCGCCACTAGGGCTCCTATATAGTATCCTATAATTTGCTGATGGCTTAGTGTGTATGCATTGTATGTCTCCCCAGTGAGAATGGGAAGCCTGTAAGAGTAGGACTGTGGCCTATGTTTTTATTTTTATTTGTCCACAATCCCAGACACATAGGGGTGTTGTTAGGTGCCGTTGAGTTGGTTCTGACTCACAGTGACCCTATGTACAACAGAACAAAACACTGCCCGGCCCTGCGCTAACCTCACGATCATTGTCATGCTTGAGCCCATTGTTGCAGCCACTGTGTCAGTCCATCTTGTTGAGGGTCTTCCTCTTTTTCTCTGACCCTCTACTTTACTAAGCATGATGTCCTCTCCAGAGACTGATCCCTCCTGATAACGTGCAAAGTACGTGAGATGAAGTCTCATAATTCTTGCTTCTAATGAGCATTCTGGCTGTACTTACTCCAAGACAGATTTGTTCGTTCTTTTGGAAGTCCATGGTATATTCAATATTCTTTGCCAACACTGTAATTCAAAGGCATCAATTGTTCTTCAGTCTTCCTTATTCATTGTCCAGCTTTCGCATACATATGAGGCAACTGAAAACACCATGGCTTGGGTCAGGCACACCTTAGTCTTCAAAGTGACATCTTTGTTTTTTAACATTTTAAAGAGGTCTTCTGCAGCAGATTTACCTAATGTAATGCGTCTTTTGATTTCTTGACTGCTGCTTCCATGGGCATTGATTGTGGATCCAGGTAAAATGAAATTCTTGACAACTTCACTCTTTTGTCCGTTTATCATGATGTTGCTTATTGGTCCAATTGTGAGGATTTTTGTGGGCATCCCAAAAGAATTTACCTGAATGTACCAAGATATGCAAATAACTTCATCATTTTGTTTGCCCTACAGAAAACCACACCCATCCGCTCCCAAGCTGACCTGAAGAAATTACCCTTGGAAGTGACCACCAGACCTGCCCCTGAGGTAAGTCTCAGGGGCCAGAGGGCATTCCCACAGGTGTCTTGTGCTAGCATCAGTGTTCTTACTCTCTCTGGACCTTTTTTAGGAACCTGCACGTAGACCACAGCGTCCTCGGTCACCCCCTTTACCTGCTGTGATCAAGAACGCCCCAAGCAGACCACCTCCCCTGCCAGCTCTCAGGCCAACCACCCAGCTGCGGAGGGCTCCTGTCGTCAGCAGTGCCCTGAAGCCTCCTGCTCTGGCAGCCGGGGAGGAGGCCAGTACGTCCAGGCTGCTGCCATCACCCGAGGTCCCCCGAAAGCCTGCTAACACTCCAGTCAGGGCTGTGCCTCGGCCCACCCCTTTGTTGCAGCTGCCATCACCATCTCTGCCGAACTCTAAGATCCTTCGGGAGACCTCTGTCCCCAGAGCCGTTAAGACTCCGGTGGTCAAGAAGCCAGAGCCACCCACTAAACTCTCTCCGGTGAGATGCTTTTCCTCCTCCACGCCTCTTGCTCCTCAGTGGTATAGGAATGGAATCAAGCTGTGTCAGCAGTACTGTGGGAGCTGTGGGGATCACCTTGTCCCGAGTTTCCCTGTGGCCCATGAGGAAGGGGAGCCTAGATGGCCAAAGGGACTGGGTCAGGAGCCCAGAGAAAGTTGGTTACTGGTTAGAATGTGGTTCCCCACCCAGGTAGCCTTTCACTGCTCTCTATGAGTTGTGGTCTGCTGCAAACTTGAGTCGCATCGCTGGTTTCTCATGGTGGGTATAGGTAGGCGGCCTGGTGACAGCCTTGGTGGGCTACAGCAGTGGTCGGTGTGTTTCGGGGATGTCACAGCTGACTGGCCAGGTAGGCTAAGGGGGATGTGAATTGAGAGGCATTCCCCCATGACAACTTTGAGTCTGCCTGAACCTGCGCCTTTAAGCAAAGGTCCGCATGTGCGCAGAGGCCAGGAGGTGGCTTGCCTACTGAGTAATGTCAGTGAGGGGAGTATAAGCCACTCTGAACAAGGCCCCATCATGTTTCCACTCCTGCCTTGCTCCAGGCTACCCCTGGCCGGAAGCGCAGTTTTGGGGTCTCTGACGAGGAGGAGGCTGAGGAAGAGGCTGAGAGAAGGAAGGAGAGGTCCAAGCGGGGAAAGTTGGCTGTGAAGGAGGAAAAGAAGGAATCAAATGAGGTAGGTGGTTGAGGTGAGGTTCTCAGAGCCTACCTCCCCAGGGTCTCCACCCTCTACCTGTAGGCTGAATCAACCCTTGTTTGTGTTCTGTGACATGAGATTTCTAGAAGCCTAGTTCATCTCTCTGAAGGACTCTCAGTCACACAGATGTCTAGAAACATGGTATCAAGTAGAATCTGGAGTGAGACCTACTTCTGGCTCCAATCACAGGGCATCCATGGGTGGCTAGTTTGGATCATGGCAGAAGTCACATGGGTGGATTGGGGGCTTGCAGCAGTTTCCTTCCTTGTGTCTGCCATTCTGTCCCTTGCCTGCTGTCTTGTTTAAAAAGGTGGCAGAGGGTAAATACCTAGGGTAGTGATTTTAGACAGTGGCTCTTAGCAAGCTGTGGTGATTTAAACTGCAGCATAAGAAGACACAGTGGTGATGGCCGAGGACCCTGGGTGGTATCAGGGGGTACTCAGGATGCCTCTGACACTCTGTTTTTGCAGCTCTCAGACAGTGCTGGGGAAGAGGACCCAGCTGACCTCAAGAGGGCTCAGAAAGGTGAGCTGGGGGGGAAGTACCTGGCAACCTGTGGTGGGAGTGGGAAGTGGAGCCCTCAGCAAACAGCAGCTTTATCCTGAAGCTCTGGAGTTTTTCGGGGTCTGGATCTTGTACAGCAGTGGTTCCAAGTCGTAATCCCAAGAAGAATTCTTAAGATATGCACATTTATGTTTATTTCTAGCACCAGCTCCTCGGCATTTGCCTGCGGCAGTCACTTAGCCTGCTGCTTGTTGGCCTTCCGTGTTAGATGGGGAGGGAGACCTGAGTGGCTGGGCTCCATGTGCCTAGCAGAGTGGGTGCAAGCATCGAGGGGTTCTTGTCCCTTGGACTACTTTCTGAAGGTGGCCCTGGCTGAGAGAGGCTTTAGTCCAGCTCTCTGACTCACCTTGTGCCCATCCTCAGATAAAGGGTTGCATGTGGAGGTCCGTGTGAACAGGGAGTGGTACACAGGCCGTGTCACAGCTGTGGAGGTGGGCAAGCACGTGGTGCGGTGGAAGGTGAAGTTTGACTACGTGCCCACAGACACAACACCCAGAGACCGCTGGTAAGCACCTTTGTGGGAGGCAGAGTGATGGAAGGGGGCTGGGGCAGGGGGAGGAGGGATGGTTCCTGGCAGAAGGTCTCCCTGGCCCTCTGCAGGCCACCCCTCCTAGGAGCCCAGGGACTCATATGACTCATGTGCTGTGTTGTCCATAGGGTGGAGAAAGGCAGCGAGGACGTGCGGCTCATGAAGCCCCCATCACCAGAGTATCAGAGCCCCGACACACAGCAGGAGGGTGGTGAGGAGGAAGAGGTGGTGGCAGTGGCCCCACAGGCTGTAGCCATGGTGGAGCCCTCCACTTCTGACTGTATCCCCATCGAGCCAGACACCACCGCCCCTAGCACCAACCACGAGACCATCGACCTGCTCGTCCAGATCCTCCGGTGGGTGTGTCGGCCTGCCCATGGCCAGCAGCAGTTCTTCACCCATCTCCATGCCATTCTCAATTCCTGACCCTGCCTTCTTTCTTGCTTAGGAATTGTTTACGCTATTTCCTGCCTCCAAGTTTCCCCATCTCCAAGAAGGAGCTGAGTTCTATGAATTCAGATGAGCTAATATCATTTCCTCTGGTGAGTCTGGCCTGACCTTTGATTTTGTACTCTACGTCCCCTCCCTTGGTGTTTGTTGTGGTCACTAGCTCTCAGCTGCATGCCCTTCCTCAGCCAGATGCCCTTTCTTCTGTCACCACCTCTGTGAGTTTCAGATCTGGGGAAAGACATGGCTTAGCTGGGTATGACTCTGGTATGCAGAAAGCCTGCCCCACCCACCCCACTGTAAAGTGCTGGGGCTGAGTCCTCAGGTAGGGACAACAGACCTGGTTTGACATTTTACAAGTAGTGTATCCTTGTAAATCTGCCCTAGGCAAAGTGAAGAGGTTAGGTTTAAAGTGCCTAGAACCTGACTTGGAAGGAGGTATAGAAAAGCCTGGGGTGTGTGGAAATGAGCTCTGGGCCTCACTTAACCTAGCAAGTGTTGATGTGCGGCCTCCACCGACAGGCCCTTTGCTGGACCTCATAGTGAGCAGCAGAAGGGGGTCGTATCTCCAAGCTGGACGAGTGAGCAATGAGTGCTGTGGAAGTGGGAGGGGCCAAGGCAACCTAGGGGAGGGAGAGGGCGGGGCTCAGTCTGAGGAAGAAAACGTGGGTTCCCTTGTGTGAGTGAAGGGGAGTGTTTGAGGCAGGGGACTTTGTGCATCATGGCCCAGAGGAACGGACGGACAGGGGTCAAGGCAGTAGGCTGTATGGTGGAGCATTTAGGGTGGAAGGGGCCTGAGAGCAGGATGTACTACGTTGGGAGGCCAGGTCTAAGGCGTGGTGCCTTCCACTCTGTATGAAGTGGAGGCCAGCGAATGGTGCTGAGCTGAGAGAAATGTGTCCTAGGACAGGGTCAACAGGCTTTTTCTGTAAAGGGCCAGTTAGCAAGTATTTTCAGCTTTGTGGTCTCTGTGGCAACTACTAACTCAGCCAGTCTAGTGCAAGAGCATTTGTAGACAGTACACAAAGGAATGGATATGGCCATGTTCCAATAACACTTTATTTACAAAACAGGCAGCGGTTGGATTTGGCCTGCAGGTCATAGTTTATAACTTCGGTAGCAGCATGTTTGGGTGGGATGGGCAGATGTGAGACACAGAGGTAAGGAGGCTGGTCCAGTTGTGTGAAGGTCCAAGGAGAGGGAATGGGGAGCAATGGTGGGAATGGGCTGGTGTGTGTAAGGCGCAGGTCAGGGGTCGTTGGCAAACTGGTCATTGACTGTTGGCCAGTGACGGGAGGAGGCAGCAGGCACTTGCTTTCTGTGTTTCGGGCCTGTGGGAATTGGAGGTGGATGCTAAAGCTGTTAACTGGGAGAGAAAACAGTGAGGCTGAAGATGAGTCGAGATTTGATAGGGATGCACTGGAAGCATCAGTAGTACATTTCTGGTGGAGATTAGGGACTGGTGGGGAGGGAGGAAGGGAAAGGAGATCAGAGCTGGAGGTGGGGACCTGGGATCTGGTAGGAACAGCTAAATTTCCCAGGAAGAGTTTCTAGAGCAGAGAAGAGAAGTGGAATAGAAACTGGTGGATTGGTATGTTCAGGGTGTCAGGCCCTCATGTGGCAGGCATGTATGCATATGAGGTGTGCACATAATAGTTTGCCAGAGAGAAAAACATGGAGAGCTTTATGTCCATTCTACATTTAAAAATGAAATGATTCTAGGAGTTGAAGAAAGTAAGGCTCAGTGAGGTGAAGAGTCTCTGTTGGTAAGTGATGGAAGCCAGATGTGAACCCAGGTACTTCTGAGGAGAAAGACTGGGCTCTTCTCACGATGGCTGCCTTGTCCCTCCCTGTGAGATGAGAGGGCATGGTGCACAACTAGGGAGCTAGAAGGTAGAACTCAGCACGGCTGCTTCACAAGAAAGCGCCACACTTCAACTTTTGCCCTTGTTTAGGCTGCAGGAGCTCTCTGCAGATCCCAGGAGGCACAGGCGGTTGTTAGGAGGGCTGGGTCTGCCTGGCATCTTCTCAGTCAGAGATTTGTTGCTTTTGGCTTAAGGTTGTTGCCAAACTCAGAGCAGCAGCTGGGTACAGCAAGACCTCTGCAATGAGCTGGACTAGCCAGACCCAAACAGTTAGGATGCGCGTCGGAGGCTAAAAATAGTTAGCAGATTAGCTTGTTTTTGCAAAATGAGGTATAATACCAGTGCATCAACTTTGTCTTCCTAATTGTAGCGCCTAAAAAAATACCAGTTTTTATTTTTTTAGCATCAGGGTATGTCCTTGTCAGTCTGTAAATGATTGTCCTTTTCCTGTGATGCCAGACAGAGCAGGAGTTCCATAAAGCCCTCAGGGACCCTGTGAATATTAGATTTAAGTATCGTTGTGAAGTTATATATATATATATAACTATTTAAGAAACTAATGTAAAAGATGCACATGAATCTACAATTATCTCAAAATAAAAAGTTAAAACACCCACAAATAATATAAACCACAATCACCCTCAAGAAACCACAATCACTCTCAAGATGTTTATACTGAATTTTAATACTTTGCAGCATCCTCAAACATTTATTTTGTGCTGCCAAGGTAATTCTTTTTTGTGTAGAACTCAAAGTTTCTCTTGCCATCTTGGTTTAATAGGATAATATTCTCAACTGTAAGGTGAGTGACAGAGTTAAATACTTGCCAGTGAGAGTTTTTAAAAGCAGCGGTCAGGAGCCTCTCAATACTGAGTAGCTCACACATATTTACAGAGGTAAATAAATGCTTGAGTTGGTAAGACTGCAGTGGTCAGTCAAGACCTACTGATTGTAAGTCATATTCATCAAAATGGCTTCTTCGTTCTCACTGATTTATGACTAAATGTTTTAAATTTGAACTTGAACAATACGTTTAACTTAAAAAGATGCTACTTAAATTGTTTACACTGAGGTTTCATGTAACATTTCATTTTAAAAAATGTTCTGCCACTTAAAAGCTTGAAAAGCCATGTTTCTAGCTAGAGAGACTGCTAGTTAAGTGTTAGGTACTCAAGGGAAAATAGTAAAAAGCTCTGAGGCTGCAAAAATGTCTGCTGCACAAATCTGGAGGAATCTATTTTGGTAGGTGCTTGATAAACATTTGCAAAAGAGAATTGACTTTAGTCCTGACATTGTTGGGAGTGACTTGGAAATGGATTGTTGGATGAGCTTTTCTGAACCTCAGAAGGATGTGAAGGAGCCAGTCAAGTGACTCTGTTAATTGTCTTGTGTGCCACCGGAAGGTGAGCATGCTCTCTCACATCACTCATGGCTTGCTGTCTGCACAAGCTCTCTGCCGAGTGTTTACATGTATGGTCTCATCTTTGTCCTCGTGTAGCCCCATGAGATAGGCACCCTGGGTCTGCCTGTCTTCCAGGTAAGGAATCCAGAGTGACTCATACAATGCCACACAGAAGGTTTCAAACTGAGGTCTTCCTGCTCTGGAGCCAGAGAGCGTGCCTGCCACTTGTGTCTGAGACTCCTTCAAACCAAGTGCCCCTGGTCTCAGCCAGTGGGGGGACACCAGTCTTGTCAGGGAGGGCCTGTGAGCTCATGCACTCACCTTCCAGCTTCTCTTCTGACAGAAAGAGTACTTCAAGCAGTATGAAGTGGGGCTCCAGAATCTGTGCCACTCCTACCAGAGCCGTGCTGACTCAAGGGCCAAGGCCTCCGAGGAGAGCCTGCGCAACTCGGAGAGGAAGCTTCGTGAAACAGAGGAGAAGCTGCAGAAGCTGAGGACCAACATCGTGGCACTCCTGCAGAAGGTGCAGGAGGTGAGCCAGGCAGCCTGCTGCTGGTGTCTGGACCACCTGGTACCCCAGGGGGAGCTTGGGCCCCTCCTGCCCCCTTGCCCCACTCACAGGACTCTGTGGTTCACGTCTTCCTGACTAGAGGGCCTGAGGGGGTAGAGCAGCCCCAGGCCTCACCCTAGCCAGACTCAAGGAATCAAACTTTTGCCCATGTTTAGGTGATTCTCATATACAGCCTGGTTTGAGAACCCTCCAAGCCATAAAATGGAAAGAAGCTCTGTCTTTTCCAGATGATGCAGAGATGAGGTTGGGTAGCCCAGGAGTAGGCAGTGCCCCATAGGGCTGCAGCCCTTCATCCAGGCAGTCAGTCTGTCCTGTGGATATGGGGTAAACATGACAGGCAAGACAAGGTCCCTGCTCTCAGTCCTACAGACTGGTGGAGGAGACATAGTTAGCATAGTGGCAAGTGCTACCAAGTAAATGCAAGAGAGACAACACCGAGGAAGGCTACTCTGCTAGGGTGTTCAGGGGAGGCCTGTCTGAGGAGATGATTTATGGGCTGAGACTGAAAGCCAGCCAGAGAGTGGGAAGAGCAGGGCCAGTGGCCTGAGGTGAGGAGTTGCAGGTGATAGGAAGATAAGAGCTAGGCCACACGGGCAGGACCTGTATAAGTTGGGATTTCATCCTGAGCAGTGGGAAGTGACTGAAGGAGTGTGGTGTGATCTGGTTTGCAGTCTGAGATGTTCACTTTGGTTGTTTGGAGGGGGTGAGGAAGCAGGACTCCAGTAAGCAGACACTTACAGTTAGTTGTCCAGGGGAGGGATGTGGTGAGGGCCCTGGATGGTGGTGTGAGGAGGGAGAGAAGTGGGCAGATTTGTAATATCTGAGGGAAAGAGGGTAGCTCTTCCAGTTTTGTCTTGAGCGCCTGGGTGGGACCCTGTATTGAGAGGGGAGCACCTTGGGTTGGGGCCGTGCAGTTGAGCCCTGTTTTGGAATGTATTGAATCTGAGAAGCCTGCAGCACATCTGAGGCAGCTGGGAACCTGGGGCAGAGGCAGGGCAGGAGCAAGAAATGTGGGCATCATCTGTGCACAGTGGATGATGAGGGGGGAGGAGGAAAAAGGGGACTCTGGGCTCAGCCCCAGGAGTGGGGAGAAGGGTGGAGAGATGGACCCCCCACCACCTTCCGGCTCCTGTCTGACCCTTGCCCTGCTCTATTCCAGGACATAGATATCAACACCGATGACGAGCTGGATGCCTACATCGAGGACCTCATCACCAAGGGTGACTAAGGGGCAAGGCATCAGCCCTTGCCCCACCTGCCCCTAGAGGCAGCACCTCCAGGGGGTAGTGTTTTGTTCATGGGTTGGTGGACTTACCTTGGTTTGACTCACATGGGACATTTGTGCTTTTGCAGAGAAAGATACTCTCGTTCTTCGAATCTGCCTCCCTAAGTTTATAAATATTTATTTTTTAAAAGAAACAAGATGTTGTGCCTGCTACGAGACCATACATTTTGTTGTGACTGTTGGGCAAAGGAGAGAGAACCTTTCCGCTTTGGCCACACCAGGATGCCAAGCCTGAGATGCTTCTCTCAGCTCCTGGCCCCTCAAGATAGTGGCAGTCCAGGGCCATGCTGAAGCTAGAGGCTCTGGGACATGCTGGTTTCTGTCCTAGAGAATGAGCAGTTGGGATCTGAGGGATGGGGGATGGAGAGAGCCCCCAGATTCCAGGAGACCCACAAGAGGCTATTTGTCAGGAAGAGGTTTGGTATTACAGGGCTCTCCCTCTCACAGGTTCCTGCCCTTCTCAGGGATGTCAGAGTCCCATCTGGGCTGTGGCATTGTCCAAACCAGCTCGGGGAAGAAAGATCCTCCCCTTTCCACCACTCAAGTTCTCTCTGAAGCAGTGATTTCCTGGTTTAACTCTGTACAGTGAGGTTCCCCACCTCAGTAAGAATCCGGGTTGAGTAGATACATCTGGCTCTGGTCTGATCTCTGACCTGGGTAGCACACCAAATGTTTGAATTCCAAAGGATTCCTTTTAGGAAGGGGCCCCTGGTGCTAAGGTTGTGGAGGCCTCGTCTGTGGGTGGGGTGGGTCCTGGGAGAGCAGACCGCTGCCTCAGATGGTACGGGCTCATCTGGAAAGCCTGCTGCTGCTTTTTCTTCTCCCACTTCCTGTTTCCTGTCCCCGCCCTGCCCAGTCGTGGCCCCTGCTCTGGGACAGAGTGGGGAGCCAGTGAGGCCTGGAAATTGGGCTGCAGGAACTCCAGAGACAGCTCTGCAGGGAGCACAACATCCCTTCCCTTGGGAGGGCTGTCCCTATTCAGTCAGACCTTCATACAGCTGCGTCCTTCAGCAGGTTTTCTCAGGGTCAAAGACAAAGGAAAGAGTAGCAGAGTTCTCTCTTTAGTGGCCATAGGAAAAATTCTGGTTCAATTTCCCCCTAGCTCTCTCCTCCCAACTTTACTGGGCCCTTCTGGATTTTCTGAAGGCACAAGAACTATGGCCTTGTACCATTGGTCTGTGATTCAAACCTCTCTCGGTGTGTTTCTGGCATCTACCTAACCCAGGTCATCAGTGGTCCATCATGCTACTCTGTGAAGTCTGCAAAATTGGTAGCACTGGTGAGGGAAGCAGGCTACACTGGAATTGGAAGCCCTTCCCCACTTATGCACATCGCCAGGAGCACCCATGACCTGTGGGCTTTGGGCTTCCTAAACCACATCCCCGGGAGAGGGCTGTTTGGGGAAATAACAGTCAGAGATACCCTGGCTTCTTCCTCTGGAAGATTCTCTAAAGGTCTTGGGATTTCTTAAACCGGTGATTCCCCTCCCATCCAGCACTGCTTGTTCACCCCAGGTAGCATGTGGTCCATTTTTATCCCCAAACCTACTGTTTTAATCTAAAAAGAAGCTGGTTCTGCATTTTTACCAGAGGGTAATACTCTAAAGGTTTTTTTTTTGTTTTTTTTTTTAATTTAAACACTTGTAATCAAAATGCAATACTATAAACTTTTACCAGTGAGAATCCTGAACTTGGCCTGTTTTCTTCTCTCTCACTATTAGAATCCAGTACTTTTCCTCCTCTTCATTCTTTCTGTCAGTGTGGGTTAAACCTTCTGTCACTGTGGCTTCTGTTGTCAACTTTTTTCTCTTCCACCATCTCGTTTTCTGTCTCCACCCTCCTTAATGCCCACAGAAACTGAAATAATGAATTTCTTAAATGTTTTAGCTTCAACCTCTGGATGTGCCCACTCTGCTGTTCTTGATCCAACCACTGCAGTGCTGACACAGCCTGTTTTCCAGAAAGAGAGCTTAACGTTCTGGGAAAAGGTGAAATGTAGGTGTCCTTCTCTTTCCCTGTCATGGGACAGTGCCCACTCTGGGAGTGAAGACACTGTCTGACAACTGGGAGGGGGTAGTCTGGCTGATCTGTGGCAGGAAAGTTCTTAGTACAAGGCTGCTAAGAAGGTAGATGAGTATGGCAACCCTTATACACCCACTCCTCACTTATCAACATGGTTGGGTTAGAAAGACCAGGTCGTTATGTGAAGATCAGTGTTGTGCAAAAATGGAGGATGACCATATCATTATGTAACTGCCAAATTACATCATTACATAACTGCCAAATCATGGTCCAGCCAAGTTGACACATAACCATCGTAGCCAGCATTACTCTAGCCTCACACCTCGGTGTTCGTTACTGCCAGACATACATTGTTAATGTGCAAAATAGTCGGATAGTCGAGTTTTTACTGTTACCGTAAATGTGAAATGTCAGAGATAGTACATAAGTGAGGAGTAGTTGTATTTAAAGAATGGGAGGAATGGGGACTTTCTTTAGGGTTTTTTAAAGGGATGCGTGCATGTGGTAAAAACTCAAACTGTACAAAAGGTTGGACCATGCAAAGCAAGTCTTTATCCCACCCCTGATCCACATTCTTTCCCCCAGAGAGTATGCATCCTGAGCACAAGCACATCCACTCTGCTCTCTTTCCCACTTAGTGTATGTTGGAGCCTGTTTAAAAACAGCCCGTATGGCTCCACTTTGTTCTTTTGAGCCACATAGCAGTTCATTGTCTTGGATGTCATTTATTTTAAGTCCCCTGTTGATGACCGTTTAAGGAGCCCTGATGGCACAGTAAGTGCTTGGCTGCTAACCTAAAGGTTAGTGGTTCGAGCTCACCAGCCACTTTGCAGGAGAAAGATATGGCAGTCTGCTTCCATAAAGGTTACAGCCTTGGAAACTCTATGGGGCCGTTCTACTCTGTCCTGTAGGGTCACTATGAGTTGGAATTGAATCGACGGCAACGGGTTTGGTTTTGTCTTGGTATTGAACATTTGGGTTACTTATAACGTTTCATTATGAAAAATGCCATCTGGAGCATGTGCGTGTGTATTTATTCATAACTTGGGATCTGTATGTATATAGGCTAAATTCCAAAAAGGGAAATGGTGGTGTCAGAAGGTAGGTGTCTTAGTTATCTACTGCTGTTACAACATAAATACCACAAGTGGTTGGCTTTAACAAAGAGAAATTTATTCTTTCACAGTTTAGGAGGCTGGAAGTCTGACTTTAGAGTGCCAGCTCCAGGGGAAAGGTTTTTCTTGCTGCTGGCTCTGGGGGAAGGTCCTTGTCATCAGTCTTCCCTGGTTGAGGAGCTTCTCAGCACAGGGACCCTGGGTCTGAAGGACGTGCTATTTTCCTGGCTCTTAGTTTCTTGGTAGTATGAGGTCCCCATGTCTCTCTGCTCTTTTCTTTCTTTTGTATCTGAAGAGATTGGCTTAAGACACAACCTAATCTTGTAGTTTGAGTCCTGCCTGGTTGACATAACTGCCTCTAATCCTATCTCATTAACATCATAGAGATAGGATTTACAACACATAGGAAAATCACATCAGATGACAAAATGGTGGACAGTCACACAATACTGGGAATCATGGGCTAGCCAAGTTGACACATATTTTTGAGGGGACACAATTCAATCCATGACATTCTACCCTTTGGTCCCCCAAAATTCATGTCCTTGCCACATGTAAAACATGTGCATTCCATCATATTAATAGCAAAAGTCAATTCAACTCTTAAAAAGTCCAAAATAAAAAAATTTCTCATCTGAATACAAGTTATCTGCTTCCAAAGTACAGTGGTGGAAGAGGCACAAGCTAGACATTTCCATTACAAATGGGAGAAACTGGAGGGAAAGAAGGGATAACAGGCACCAAGCGAGTCAGCAGAACACGTTATTAACTCTCAAGGCTTGAGAGTTTGTTTTCTGAGACCACTTAGGCAATGGCCCTGCCCTCCAGACTCTGGGTGCTGTCCACACTCTGGATTCTGGGTGGAGGCCCCTCAGCGTTGGGCTTCAGCTCTGTCTTCCAGGCCCACTGGAATGGCAACTCAGTTCCCTTGGCTTTGGGCGGCCCCATTCTCCTAGTCTGTCTGAGTGGTGACTCCACCCTTTGAGACTGAGGCACCTCTGCTTCCTGTGTTCCTTGTCTGTTTAGCTTCTACTTCCTGGTTCCTTGGCCTCAGCCCCTCAGGCCTCAATGCCTGTGTCTGCCCTGCTGGGGCAAGTATTCCAAAGCTCTTTAGCAACATCAATAAATTCCTGCAGGCACCCCACTCCAACTTTGGCCAGAAGGCACTCAGCTTTCTTGTGCCATGGGTTGGCAAGCCGAGCTCCACCCATAAGTGCTGAGAGGCACCCTGCTCTGCCAGGAAGCCTCCTGCACCAAGGCAGTCAGCTCTCACTCTGTCAGTCGGCTCCAGCACTGTCTCGGCTGGTCTCCTGGTTCTGCCGCTGCTGTTTCTCTTCTGCTGCTTCTTGCCATCTGTGCCATCTCCCGTGTAACAGCTCCCCACTTTCTACTGAGTCCTCCACAGGATTATCTTTGATGTCCATAATTCTACGAATAGTCTCTTCAAGGCAATCTAGGGTTTTACTATGAGGCACTTTAAATCTCTTCCAGGCACTATCCATTCACAGTTTCAAAACCGCTTCCACATTTTAGGTATCTGTTAGAGCAGCACCCCACTCCCGGTACCAAATTCTGTCTTAGTCATCTAGTGCTGCTATAACAGAAATACCACAAGTGGATGGCTTTAACAAAGAAAAATTTATTTTCTCACAGTCTAGGAGGCTAGAAGTCTGAATTCAGGGTGCCAGCTCCAGGGGCAGGCTTTCTCTGTCAGCTCTGGGGGAAGGTCCTTGTCATCAATCTTCCCAGGTCGAGGAGCTTCTCAGCACAGGGACCCCGGCTCCAAAGGACGCACTGGTCTGGCTCTTGTTTCTTGGTAGTATGAGGTCCCCATGTGTCTCTGCTCGCTTCTTTTATATCTTAAAAGAGACTGGCTTAAGACACAACCTAATTTTGTAGATTGAGTCCTGCCACATTAACATAACAGCCAGTAATCCCACCTCATTAACATCATAGAGCTAGGATTTACAACACAGGAAAATCACATCAGATGACAAAATGGTGGACAGTCACACAATACTGGGAATCAGGGACTTAACCAAGTTGACACATATTTTAGGGGGATCCAATTCAATCCATGACAGTGGTGTACTAAAAATTCTAAGGTACATCCCCATACTGCCTTCCAAAAACGATTGTTCCTATTTCAATTCCTACCAACAGTGCATCTCCCCTACACATTCACCGAGAGATGGTCTCTTCCATTTTACCTGCTAATCTGGAATGTAAACTGATGGATTTTTCCAAACTCCTGAGGGACCGAATTGCTGGGCTGAGGGCTGTGTGGACCATGGTCTTGGGGAACATCTAACTCAATTGGTATAACATAGTTTATAAAGAAAATGTTCTACATTCTTCTTTGGTGAGTAATGTCTGGGGTCTTAAAAGCCTGTGAGCAACCATCTAAGATACTCCACTGGTTTCCTTCGGGAGCAAGGGATAATGAAGAAAACTAAAGACAAGGGAAAGATGAGTCCAAAGGACTAATGGACCACAACTACCAAAGCCTCCACCAGACTGAGTCCAGCACAACTAGATGGTGCCCGGCTACCACCATGGACTGCTCTGACAGGGATCACAATAGAGGGTTCTGGACAGAGCTGG